AAAATCCAGTTTCGGACCTAACAGTGAGTAAAACCAAGGCGTTAAAAATTAGTAAAATTAAAAAAAAAATCGCCCGCCCACTTTTTGGCAAAAGCTAAGGACGCTAACCAACAATTTTTTTATGTGGCCTTACAAACGGGAAATAGTTACCACTTTTCCAAAATTTTGATCTGAACTAGCCTAAACAAAAATTTCATCACAGCTTGAAAGAGCATCACAAAATTAGTAATATTCCAAAGTTTCGTTGCAAAATGTTGTAAAATGCGGATAATATAGCCTTACGAAGTTTGTAATTTTCATTCATTTTGTATTACGCACAGAAGTGGTAACCATTTCCCGTTTGTAATCTAAAATTACTGAAAATTACAAATTTCGCAAGGCTATATTATCCGCATTTTACAACATTTTGCAACAAAACTTTGGAATATTACTAATTTTGTGATGCTCTTTCAAGTTGTGATGAAATGTTTGTCTAGACATGTTGAGTTCAAAATTTTGGTTAATTGGGGAATAGTCCAATGTATTAAGAAGTTCGCTCTAAATTGAGCGAGAAACAATAAAATTATACGAATATTTCAGAATACATAATATCGTTCAAGCGGAATTTTTTGGTTGGTATTTTCGTATTTCTACTGCAAATACTCGCGGAGTTCTTTAATATTTAATCTTCCCGTCATATATATATGTCGAAAATCAATATTGTCGGATCGAATTGAGTTAAGCATCAGGAAGATCGGGAAGTAAACAGTGCAATTTACTGTTGTAAGCGACGAAAAACTTTGCATCATGAAATTTAAAAAGAATCATACACAACACAAAAGAACGCGAAAGCAATGTTTAGTGCTTGACCGATTGTGCAACAATCGGAAATTACCGATTATTAATATTCATGCCACAATCTGCCAGATACCCAGGGCCGTTCTCAGGAAATTCTTCACAGGGGGGGGGGGGGTGTAAGGTCAATTCAGCTGACTGATAAACGAGCTTTTACCGACCACTCTAACCGACCACATGCTAGCCATGGAAGCTTGTAAAATTCCAATGGAGGTCAACTAAATTCAGGGACCGCGGAGCCATTTTTGGATTTAGGGGGCTATAGCAAACGCTGAAGGTGTGAGTTCGGTAGGGGATCAGGGGGCATGCTCCCTGTGAAATTTCGAAATCTGAGACCTCCCAGAGCCCCGGAAATGCAATCAAATTTACTAGTTGCTGTTAAAAAGTTTCTTAATGGATGACTCTTAATCTAATATTACCCATCATTTGTTTAATCCAACCAGAAATAGATTGCATACTTGGCTATATAAGTTATAAATATATTGTTAACTGATCTGAAACTCAAAGATTTCAGTATTTTTAGGTTTTAAAAATCACATATGTATGGAAAATTATTGGGGGTCCCCCTGCTCCCAGAAATTACGCCGGTTGTGCTCTAAATGAAGCCTGTTCTGAATTGCCATATTTGATAATTGAGTTTTTGGCGGGAATATATTGTGTTCAGCGGTTCTTAAACATGCTACATATACTTTATTTAAGATCTTTTGTATCGCTATGTGGTTTAACTGTCAATCTGGCCTTGTTTCGAGTAACCAAAATTTCTGTTTCTTATATAACAGGTAAAAATCATATCAGTAGTAGTTTTGAATTTTTTATTTTTTTTTCTGTGTTGGTGTTGTGTACTCAGGTGAATAATATGTTTGCGATGTTACTCTGAGTGCATATCCACACCGGGCGAGCTTGAAAAATATGCCCGGCCACAGTGGGATTCGAACCTACGACCTTTGGAACACGGCCCAATGCTCTTCCAACTGAGCTACGCGATCAGGACAGTTCGAGTAAGTGATATTTCGGAACAGTATCTAGTTCCTTCAATACCAATGTGTTCTAGTAATATGATTTTTTTTTTCTGTGTTGGTGTTGTGTACTCAGGTGAATAATATGTTTGCGATGTTACTCTGAGTGCATATCCACACCGGGCGAGCTTGAAAAATATGCCCGGCCACAGTGAGATTCGAACCTACGACCTTTGGAACACCAGTTCATATTACTAGAACATTACTAGAACACATTGGTATTGAAGGAACTAGATACTGTTCCGAAATATCACTTACTCGAACCGTCCTGACCGCGTAGCTCAGTTGGAAGAGCATTGGGCTGGTGTTCCAAAGGTCGTAGGTTCGAATCCCACTGTGGCCGGGCATATTTTTCAAGCTTGCCCGGTGTGGATATGCACTCAGAGTAACATCGCAAACATAGTAGTAGTTTTATTTGTAAAAATATTTTTGTCTACCAACTAAAATAGCAGTCCTGCCGACTGAAGCTTCGAATAAAATTTCTGGGGGTGTCACAACCCCCGTAGCTCCGAGCCTGCAGATACCGATACTGATTTTATAATGACATCATAGTATCTGTCCACCAAGTAAAAGTGACATAATTCATGTTGATTTTTTAACGATAATTTCCAACATAACATGTTACTGCAACCAAAGATTGTTACTCTCGATTTCAATTTGCTTTTCAAAACTGACTTCCAATGTTTACTTGTAAATTCGGAATGTTCGTTGTAAAGTTCCGAAGTTTGTTTCGAAGTTCGTTACGATGATTTACGATGATTCAATAGCAAGCGGTTTGATTGGCTGGTTCACTTAACTAGCCAATTACAACTTACTAAGCTTGATTATCGTAAATCATCGGAACGAACTTCGAAACAAACTTCAGAACTTTACAACAAACATTTCGAATTTACAAGTAAACATTGGAAGTCAGTTTTGAAAAGCAAATTGAAATCGAGAGTAATACCCATTAATAAATGGCATGTTTCACACATTAATTTAACATATTGTGTAACACAATGTGTATCAATGTGCAATGTATATCATTTTTAAGGTGTGTATTTTCTCAACAATCGGTTTTAGACAATCAGAAATATCGATAATTCTACCGATTCTGATTGTCTACCGATAAGGCCAGTGCCGGATTAACCATATGGCAGAAGTGGCATAGGCCGCGGGCCCCACACTTTTGGGGGCCCCGCGCTTATTCTCTTCTATTTTTCCCCGAATTTTTTGTTCCCTGTTTCATCGCGGGGCCGAATCAGTGCGCTAGTGTGGGACCCCAAAGAGCCCAAGTCCCCCGGAAAACGCGAGGCCCCAAAAGGTTTTCTTTGTTCCCTGTTTCAGTGTATCAGCGCCGGGACCCAAAGAGCCCAACGTCCCCAGAAAACGTCAGGCCCCAAAATTTAAAAATCGAGGCCGCAATGAGTGGGGCCCCAAACAGTTTTTTTTTCCTGTTTCAGCGCGGGATCCAAACAACGCGGGGCCCCAAAGAGTCCAAGGCCCCCAGAAGCGAAGCTCCAAAAGAAACAACTGTGAGGCTCCAAAGCGGGGCGACAAACAAATTTTTCTGTTCCTTCTTTGGGCAAGGGGCTCCAAAAAGCAAGGTCAAAAAAACACATATAGTGGTCAGAAAATTTCAAAATTTGCAGTAAACTGTTCAATACTAAAAGATTGCTGAAGATTCCCTGTGGGGGTCAAGGGGCCCTGCACTGATAATATGCCACAGGCCCCGCGGAACTTTAATCCGGCCCTCAGGATAAGGCAAAAATCGTCCCGATGCTGATACCAATTATTGGTCTTGTAATTAGCCCCGATTAACCTCACCCATGTGACATATCGATTATCATCAAGGATTTATTAACTAAAAAATCTAAAGACATGCTTGAATATAGACCCTTTGAGTCAGGCTTTTAGCCAAGCTATCAAAAGACTATAAAAATTGAAAAGTCCAAAGGACAAGTGCAATTTGAAATCTTTGAAAAACTTATTACCCCATCCATTGCAAGACGATTTTACTGAAGTTAGAAAAGAGCCCTGATGTGACTAGCTGCTTGACTGGTTAAACAAAAACATGTTGAAATATAAACAAAAATACTCAAGTGTCTCAGAAGGCCTCTTGGCGCTCGCAGGATTTCCTGCCTGAAGTCTGAGGCAGTATTTAAAAACCATATACAATTATTCTATTTCGTAATATTAAATAACATTGCTTGGATATTATGGAATGACATTTCCAGCTTAACTTAGTCAAATAATTACTATAAATTTAATATTACATATTTGTTACACAACGTCTACTATTTATAAATGCAGCACAGTACTGTAAAGTACGTCTATATACGATATTGAATCCAATATAACTTAATTGTGATTTGTGAACGCTACTGATCCGCTAAAAGTAAAGTAAATCGAGTATTAAAAACTGTAAAGAAAATAAACTGTTTACGTTTGACATCTCAAGCTTCACTGGTTTGTGGTTTGCCCGTTGTCAGTTACGATTGTTTAACAAGCTGTATTCATAATTCCTAGAGTGAACAGCTAACATTTGTCTTATGAAATTACTAAGAGCTAGACACTTTATACTGTCTATATAAGCATGTAAAATTTTCAGTATATTCGATTTCAGTAGAAACACAAAATCGAATTCATCAAGTTACGATAACAGCAACAAATATTCCGTTTATGTTTACTTAGACAAAGATCAACAATCGTCCCGTCTTTTCTTATATAAAATAACCGTGTGAATTTCATAACATACCTCCTGATACTTTGTCTTTGATGGCGACGATTAAAAGACTGAGTAAAATATAATACATCCTGACACATTCCATTACAGGAACGAGCAGTAAACTGTTGCAATTAAATATCCTAATGAAGGAGCAGGCAAGCTGAGTCAGGTGAATAAGGATATGATGAAGGACGCGGATTGGTGTTTCCAGGGAGGGGAAGGGTGCGGCTTTTCCGTAAGGAGTTGGCGTTTCTAGTACTGTCGTACTGACTACATTTGTTTTATATGTAAATTTTTAAATAGAGTAATAGTATATTATTCATTAAAACTATAAATCATTTTTACAATTGGGTTTTAATTCCTGTCAATGATGGAGACTGTATGCTGAATATAGTTTTATTAATACGGTTCAAAGGAAGAATAAGCGTACCTACCCCAGTGGATGCTATCTAATAACAGCGATGGTAACTCCGAATTTATATGCATATCATGAAATTATAATAGTTATACGTCACGAACGAGTGTAAACATTGTTTGAGCATCATCCGCTTGGGCACATTATTGTCGCTGTGGAATCTGATTTAACCTCTTGCCCTTTTATGAGATCTCCGAGCATCGCCATGATGCTATCAACCACTCAGGTTTTCGTGTTGCTTTCCTCGATTATCTGCTTCACTGGGCCAGGTACATATCTGTTATATTTCTACATAAGAGGGGGGTAATGGGGTATTTTCGTGCTGCGTATTGGGGTAATTTAATTATTCGTTCTTCGTTCAGTCATCTTTTTATTAAACGTTTTTCGATCCCGACATGGATGCCGTGTATCGTGCTTGCGGTGTATTCAATATGCGTTCTCCGTTTTCAGCTGTATTTAAAGACGGTTATTTCTCGTTTCTGGACAATATATTCCATTAATTTTGTTTCTGGATTTTAGCTATGTTTTGATTGGGGAACGGAGGTTTCAAAGTTTATATAAATCATGAACATCGACGCAATTGTAAACAAATAGGTGAACACACCTCCTAGTACAGACTGTTTATATTCACCTTTAAGACTTTTAAGTATGATTGTTGCTTACATTTCATGTTCACTTTACAATTCAGATTCGTAATAAATTTATTTTACGTGCTTCAGGACTTCCTTCTTTTATTTTTCATGCTTCAAGATCGCTGCATATTATTTTTCGTGCTTCAGG